TACAAGTTTCTTTTTTTCACTTCCTTCTTCCTATTAGTGTTGTCCTCTTAAAAGCCTTAGTCAATCCAAGTTAGTAAACCCATCTTTCATCGAACAAATCTCGCTTTAAAAATAAGAAAAGATCGACTTGATTTTCAATTTTTCCATCTTGATGCTTATAGGTGGCATGTTGATTTGATCTAATTGTAATAAGAACTAATTTGATTTATTTCGGCGAGAATTTACTAGTTGACTGTAGAAGATAAATATTGCATTGATCCAACATTGAAAAATTCATGAGGAGTTTGTTTAATCTTTCAATTCAACTATGAGTGATATATTTTTTTCTTTCTTTTAAACATTACATATGTTAGAGTATAAAACATGCATTCATACGTTTCGATTGACTAGTATAATTGCGACATATTGTACATGTTTGGCTAGATAGAATTGAACAAATTCGGGGAATCATGTAAATTATCATCTTTAGTTCTGTTTAATTTAATGAGTTGATTTCAATTCAAATACTAAATTTTTCGAGTGAGAGTAAGAATCATCTTGACGGTTTTATTTTTGAAATGTTGAAACGATTTTTTAAAACAATTATTTATTATATATTGTACTGTCATTGTGAAATGCAACTCACAATATTTTCTTCACGATTTTTTATGGTAAAAAACAAAAATTTATATTACGTATTGAACTTTCGAATGTTTGTTTTCCTTTTCCGGTATACAAATAAACGTGGAGGAAGGATTCTTTATAAATTAATGGTCCACTCCAAATCCCTACCACACATGACTAGACACCAAACAAATTAAACAAGTGGTAAACTTCAAATAAACACAGTTGAAAAAATAAAAAATAAAAAATAAAAAAAGGAAAAAAAGCTCTTTTACAAATCTATGTAATGTGACTTTCATTTTTTTTGATATTACAAGAATATTTATCTTCTTTACAATTATGTTGTCACCCCTCCTCCTCTCTCAACTTTTCTCTTCTCTCTTGTGTCTCTTTCCATTTCTCCTGCAACTCGACTCCTTCTCCACGTTGCCTCAATGGCTTCTCGAGAGTCTCCTAGCTCTCGAGCAGGAGAATGGGAGAATGAGTAGAAAATGAGAAAAAGTAGGAAATGAAGCGGATGTAGATGCACTAAAGCTGCCAGCGTAAGTGTGAGGACAAACAAATGTTTTAAATAGTGGTGTGCATACTTGTCGTTTTGTATGGTGCGAACACGCTATATATGAATTTTGGACTATGTGCTCAAGTTGGGTTGCATCTTTCTGATTTTTTTGCAATTTCATCCCAAATTTTAACTCTTGATCCGTTTTAAGTCATTTTTTTCTTGCAAATTCAATCATTCAACTTTTAATTGTGTCAAATTGAACCCATAAAATCTTCAATCTTCTTTTATATTTTGTCCGAATCAACTATCTAAAGTTGCAATTTAGTCCCCCAAACTTTAAATTTCGCCTTTTTTCACCTATTTCTTCCAATTTCTCGTCCACTCATTGAGTTTCTCCTAATAAATGAAATATAAACTAAATTAGGCTATAATTAATCAAAAGAACAATGAAATGTCAATATTTTAAAGCCCAAATAAGTGTATTTTCATTATATATCTTCAATGGATATATGGTGGTGTATTTATACACAAAATACAGAATGAAATAAACATTAAATATAAACCTAATTTATTCTATAAAATGATTGGAAGATATATTGTTCCTAATCTAGTTTTTATTTTTTAATAACATTACAACAGTCTAAACCCAGTGAGATTCTGATCTTGCACACCTTCTATTGGAGGTGACCGAGTGTAGTTGCTGTCGTATATTAGCTGTGACTCTTTCTGTTGGAGTTGTCCAATGTGCTATTATTGGAGATTATGATTATTGGCCTTATCCTTTATCCCACCATGCTCTCACAATATGGAGCTTTCATTGGAGATTCTGAACTTGGGAAGAAGAGTGGCAACTGGCAAGCTATAGAGAGGATGGTGGTTTTGTTAGAGAATTATCCAACTGATCTTTACTCGAAATGTAGGAAGTAGTGAACGATACACTAGATACACGGATTATAAACAAAATCATAATAAATAGCTATATATTTCAGGATTAATCTGCTCTACTATCCCTTTCTGCTAGACTTTTTACTGGCTTCTTACAAGATGTGGGTCCCATGCGGGACCAACCTCATTAAAAAATTACCCCATAAACACCCCACTCTCCATGTATGTGGGTACCTGTAAAGGCCCTATAATTTTCGAGCTTGTACGTGTAGTGCTTCCCTGTATTTTATGTTCGCTGAATATTGGATTAACCAATAGGTAAATGGTGCCAAGATTATCATAATAAAGTAATGGGAAGAGTAGGAGTTGACATATGTATACTTGCAAAAGATTGTTAACCTAAGCCCTCAATTTGACAATCATTATTTGAAGATTCTTTTATCTAAATACTCATTTTCAATCACATATTCACATAATAAAATATTTTTGCACATAAACTAAAAATTTTTTCTTACTTTTTAACTACACTTTCTTTATGAAAATACCATTCAAAACTTTGTTTTCTCTAAATTATGATTGTCATAAGGAGGCTTAAATAAGTTTGCCAGAGCAAGTATCCCCAACATAGGGAATATTGGGTAATGCGATGAGTGGAAGTAAAGGTTGAGATGAAAGAGAGTGAATTGAAAAATTAAAACGTTCTCTTTAATAGGAGTATTTAGAGTTCGATAGATGACTAAAGTTTTTTAAGGGACTAAAATTGTACACTATTATAAGTAAGCGATACCATTCCAAAATGTTTGCCAACGTAAAACTTCAACGAAAAGCAAGTTCAAAACTTGAAGCAACAGACAGAACTCTCACTTTCACACGTATGAAAATCAAGCTTCAAAGTTTGAAAGACTTCTAAGAAAAGCAAAAAAACCCACCACAAAAGCCAAAGCGCCCCAGTAGCAGCACCCTATATTCTCTCTCTCTACATATATGTTATTTTGTAAGGGTATAACGCTAGGTACACATCGACATCCCAATTAAATCGGCACCTCTTTAGCACCTCTCTCTGTCTCTAAGATTGTGGAATATGGGTGCTTTGACGGCAAACCTACTGCAGCTCCCATCAGAGTTGAAGCTACTAGCAGAAGAAAAAACCCCTATTTTTCTGCACAAAACATGGAGGAGGATTTTGATCAACAAGAATCAATCCATTGTCCCCGTGCACTTTCTATCCTTAATTTCCTCATGATTTATGTTCTGTGGATTTCTTGAAGAAAAGGGTTCACGTTTTTTACATAATAATAATTATTTTTTTGAATGTTTGACCAGGTTGCCAGATTGTTTGGACCGTCTACATTTGAGGCATCAAAGCTGAAGGTTGTGTTTGTAGGAGACGATGAAAAGAAGCATCCGAGAATGCTCCCAAGAACATATACATTTACACACTCTGATATAACCTCTAAGCTCACTCTTGCCATCTCCCATACCATAGATAATTCCCAGGTAATACTACTCCTAACATGCAAATAAATACGAGTCTATATATTCTTTAAGATAAATTTAAAATAAATAAGTTTTTGCTCTCTAATAGTATAACCTTTTAGACGAGATTGTACAACATGATATCATAATATACTGAGGTCCTAAGTTCATGTTTCTCCGTCGCTCAAAATTATGTGCTTGTAGGCATTGTTGCACATTAACTATTTAAGATTTTAGATTAAGAGGTTTGACTAAAAAGACAAGGAAAATAATTTGGACCTTTCTTGCAGTTACAAGGGTGGTACAACAAATTACAAAGAGATGAAGTGTTGGCAGAGTGGAAGAATATCAATGGGACAATGTCTTTACATGTTCACTGTCACATAAGTGGTGGCCATTTCCTGCTAGATCTATTTGCTAGACTCAGATACCACATTTTCTGCAAGGAACTACCTGTGGTAAATTCTTCAAATCAATTTTAATTACTAGCATTTGAAATCCAACTCAGTTCACCTGAAATATTAACCATCTTAATTAAAATCTTAGGTAGACTAAATAATTTTTCTCATAAACTTGAACTTAAGACTTTTAAATGATATCACGCGGTTTAAGTGCATCTCATCTAATTGCCGATCACACGATTGGCAGCAACACATTTTTCTTTTTAATACATCAATAAAATTGAAAATATAATTGCTATTTATATTTAAGTTCCTTGACAAAACTACTTATTCATTAGGTGTTGAAGGCTTTTATTCATGGAGACAAGAACTTGTTCAGAAATTATCCAGAATTGGAACAAGCTTTGGCTTGGGTATACTTCCACTCCAACATCCCAGAATTCAACAAGGTGGAGTGCTGGGGTCCTCTCATTGAAGCAGCCTCTTCTTCTTGTGGGGCCAGTGGAATCCAATTAGAGGCAAGAAAATGTTCTCGCGGGGTCAAGGTTGACTTGTGAGGGCGAGAAAATTATATTGGAACAAGGGTGCTTCGGGTTCTGATAGATTTTATTCAAATTTCGATAGTTTTAATATCGACTAAGGGTCAGCGAATGATTTTAGGTGCATCTGATGACGTGGATGGGCACCCCCCCCCCCCCCCGGGAACTTCAGCACCAAACTGTTGTCTCTTGTCTTCATGATAGATTTATTTTCCTCAATTTAATATTTAAAAATGTGTTCAAATGTAATTATTGTTGGAAAAATGGCATACTGGGCTGATTTTGGCATAATTTTTGAGTGGATCCGTTTGTTAATTTTGAAAGATCAAAATTGATTCGTATTCTCTTTGAAAACATCAAAATTATATATTTATTGCCAAAATGATAATCAGGTGAATGAAAAATTGGAATTCAAAGTGAACCAATTGAAAATTTTAATGTATTCAAGGTCGGCCCTGAGAATTTTGAGACCCTAGGCGACTCATTATTATGAGGTCCTTAAACGTAGAAAAAAATTTACATGCGTAAAAATACTTAAATATTTAAATAAATAATGTATTTATATTTTAAACAAAGACTTCATACGATTCAAAAGTTAAAGTAGCAAATTCAAGTTTTCGATAAATCATATTATGGACTCATGAAAAAATTATTTTAAATCAAATTCAAATTATAACTTATTAAAGTAAATTACTGAATGTGTAATATTGTTTTTCAAATTAAATCATATTACCATAATAATATTAGACTTGTTTGATAGCTTGTAATTAATCATGTATGCAAAACTCGAGAAAAATTTATTTTGAATAAGGTTGAACTAAGTTAGAATCAACCAAATAAATTATTATTAAACAAATTTTTAATTAATCCATCTTTTAAATTTATACTAATTTAATTGGGCTTTTACCATGTTTTTATTTTGAGGCCCCCATTAGATGTGAGGCCCTAAGTCATTGCCTAGTTGGCCTTGGCTTAGGGCTAGCTTAGGGTCGGCCTTGTGTGTATTGGACGGAAAACAGATGATGCTTGTTTCACATAAGAAAACAAATTCCACATTATGTATAGCTACACTTTAAAAGTATATAATCAAGTGTAGTATAGATGCTCTCTTCACACATGCACATAAGGGAGCGCAAATCAAGGACCAAATCAAAGCTCCGAGTCTTGAATTTGTGTGTGTGCACAAATGGCAGACCAAACGAACAAAAAATTGACCTATTAGGAATCTCCACATTTTGCTTTTATTTCCTATAAATTAATTAATTTTTTCTTCCAAACTAAATATTCAACTCCCAAACTAAAATGTAATGGTGAACTTATTTGGCCAAGTTAATGGTGACGTTAATTGTAATAATACCTATAGCTGTTCTCTTGAAGTCCCTCATTACAGAGCGATTAGTCATTCATTTTGGAGCCTATGAATAGGGATTTTTCTCGTCTGAAACCCACGAACTTCCATACCTTCTTTGCATAAAACTTTCAACCTTCCTTCTGCAGGTCTCTGTAATTTTTATCAAAGTCTTGGTGGTCGATTCAAATACCGTTTGACAGAGTAAAAATTCAGCGTTCAATTACTGCAGTCTTCCGTTATATCCTGGGAGACAAACGCTCATGAATTTCTCAATCACTTATGGTGAGACTGTGAGAGAGCGATTTTATTTTAAGGAAACTGTGTTTACATAGCCCCGGTTTGCAAATTCTTTTCCACTTACAAATTAAAATATTATTCCAGTTTGTTCTTGTTCAATTTGAGTTATTGTGGTATTCTTTTCAGTTCTGTAATTTAATCTGCAATTTTATTTACTGTTCATATTTTTTCTGAAATAATAAAACATTATTGTATTATGCAATTATTTAATTCAACAAATATTAGCCTATTCATTTACATATTCTTGCACAGAAATAAATTGTAACAGTCATGAAACATGAGAGTGAGATTCTTAGTGACATAGCAGAAGGTTATAGGAAAGATGAACATGACTCACAAGATGAAAAATTGAAGAAAAAGTTTTATTTCTGTTAATTAAATGCGACTACAAGGGTTTACAATATTTTATATAGGGAAAATCCTAGGAAAATTTGGAAAAATTAAAAAAAGATTTTTTTTCCCCAAAAAATGGGGAAAAAAATCGTGAAAATGACTAAAATTGGAAGTCCTAATCTTAAGGATTATCCTTCAACCAACGAAATTTAAATCCAACTTAAATTGATCGAGATATAATCAAAACAAAATATATCAAAAAAGAAAAAAAAAGTATAAACGAAAGCATAAACGAAGGAATTTGCCCAAAATTGGGTTTACATTAGGAAGGAGCAAAGCTCCTATGTCTTGTTCACTGACCCATTTTCAATTAAATTTGAATAAAAATTTTCAAAAAAGGGATAACCCCAAAAATTTTCCAAAAGCCGGAAAGTTGCCTATTTCTACTTGCGTCGGTTCCACTTTTCCATAAAGTCTATTTCTTTATGCACCACATCACTTAGATACGTAGAAGTCATTTCCATTGATATAAAAATTGCTACATGTTTCATTTTGAACTGTTATAGTATGTTTCTCATGTTGAACAGGACGCATATTTTGATTATAAAATACAATATGAGACAAATGATTTTTGTCGTAATCCTATGCAATCTATCATACTTAAGCTCCTATTTGATGGACATTTTATTTAAATCAAAATCAACAATTAATTTTAGTTACATATTTTTATGAGGCTACATATTTTTATGAAACCCACAACTATTCAATCTCACATTTCATCAACTTTTATCAAAATCTACTAAAATTTGATTTGAATCCCCAGGGGTTAACTAAATTTAAAAGATCCAATAAAACATGTAATAAAGATTTCCTTCCCCTGTTATATTATCTATTGAACATCCAACATGACAGGGCATAGGGTGTTAATAAGCATGTATCTTCCTAATAATTCTTCACAACGTTCAAGGAAGCCTTTTATTTTCTTTGTGTTGATTCCATTTTAACCTTACATCGTTCGACTCTATTGAAATGTTACCGAACAGTAAGAAATAGTTTAGATTCTATGTATAAAATTAAATTTTTAAAAAATATACTTGAAAACGAATTTGAAAAAAATTGAATTTAAAATATCAATGGAGCTCAAACAATGACTTAATATTTCCAGGACCGAATTGATTCAAATAAATGCCACTAGGGTCGTCCATTCAATGTCGTCTTGCAGCATGCATGATCATTAAGGCCCTGTTTGATTTGTTCCATTTTTCATGAAAATTTTACACATTTTTTGGTTTTTGATTGCAAAAATTTTCCCGACAATTTGTCCCCAGTTTTGGTGGGAATTGAGTTTTCCAGCTTTCTTTTATTTTATTTTTTAAATTTTTGGCAATGAAAACAAATTATATCCCTTTAATTGACAATTTTCATGAAAAATAAAGTCAAACGAATATTAAAAGATCCAAAATTTCAATATTTTCTAGGCAAAAAATTATACTTATCAAACACATTTAATTAACAATTTTCAGTAATACAAGTTTTAGGCAATTCAATTTAATTCTACCTAAATTTCATTTTTGCAATCAAACATATCCTAATTATTTTGACTTTTCTCCGTTCTTTTATCAAATGTTGTACTCGTGCAAAATTACTTGATGCAATTATAATTATTGAAA